TGATTGATTTTTCGCAGTCCGATTCGCCATTCGCAGTGGGACATGACATGATTCAAATTTCATATAAATTTCGTAGCCATAAATACGCATTACAAGGTCGCACCTCACGTGACTTTACCCGTTGCAACTTCTCTTCGCTGAATTCTGAGATGGTTACTAACCTCACAAATTCTATACTGACATTTAAACAATCACCTTTGCAATCTGATCCTTCCGTCAATGAAGCGTTATCAATTTTTAATGATTCACTATTACACGCACTCGATAAACATGCACCATTACGTATCTTAACATCAACTCGTCCACCTGCACCATGGCTCAATGCTAGCTTAAAATCACAAATTAAAGAGAGAGACCATTTGTATCGTTCCGCAAGGCGTACAGGCATTACTAGGCTTATGGATAACTACAGAACAATGAGAGCACAAGTTAGGAATGCTCTACGTACAGCTAAGGAAGATTTTCTTTCCGTGTCTATCGCCAACATGACTGAACCTGGAAAAATCTGGGCATTCCTGCGACGCATGGGTTTAATGGAGTCAAATTCACAATCTTCCCTACTTTATTTCTCAGCCCTCGATTTAAATCACCATTACATTAATATCACTTCTGCACATCCCCCCTGTTCTTCAGAATTGCTTGCAGCGATATTGTCTCAACAATTACACCCTTCCACACCGGTATTCTCTTTTACCGTTTTCTCCGTTAAGCAAGTCGAAGGTGCTCTGCGATCCGTACTACCTAAATCTCGGGGATGTAGTGTAGACGGTTTACATCTTTCGCATCTAAAACAGTTATTGTCTGAGATAGCGCCCTATCTAACCTATATCTATAACATCTCAATCACAAGTGGCGTATATCCGGACAGTTGGAAGCGCTGTATAATTATTCCTCTCAATAAGACTACTACTCCTTCAAGCCCAGCACATACCCGTCCAGTAGCTAACTTGTCGCATCTCGCCAAACCACTAGATTTTCTTATTGCTCAACAAGTTTCATTTTTTCTCGAAAACTATGGACTTCTTTGCCATCAACAATCTGGATTCCGCCGCAATTACAGCACACAAACTGCACTCCTTAACATAATGGATGACGTGCGTTTGGGTATCGAGCATGGATGCGTCACATTTTTAGTTCTGTTTGATTTTTCAAAGGCTTTTGACACCCTCGATCACTCACTACTTTTATCAGTGCTAAGGGAAAATGGGTTTGATGATGTGGCGGTAAGATGGTTTCATTCGTATTTGACTGGTCGCTCGCAAGCAATTGTTGACACTAGAGGAACTTTTTCACCATTCTTAGGCTCTACATCAGGTGTCCCTCAAGGAACTAGCTTAGGCCCAATATTATTCATTACATTTATTAATACCCTCTTCAAACAACTGCGTTATTGTCGCAATACATGCAACATCTTCGCCGACGATACTCAGTTCTATCTGTCATCACCACTGTGCCGTCTTGAGCAGACAATAAGAGAATTGAACTCAGATATATAACTATTCGTCGATTGGGCTAAAAACCATAAGCTATTGCTTAATACTGCGAAGACCAAAGCCATTATTTTAGGCTCTAGACAATTACTGGCAACGGTGCACTTGATAAATTTACCACCAATCATGGTTGACGGCACTCCTATACCATACTCAAATACAGTCAAGAACCTTGGAATCCATTTGTCTGCGGATCTCACTTGGAATAGGCAAATATCCTGTATATCATCGAATTTCCATTTTGCCTTTTACCGCCTTAAATTCCGTGGATCAGCTCTACCTTCTTCTATCAAACTACAGCTAGTAAATGCTCTACTTATCCCACACCTCGATTATGCATGCCTGGTCTACAATGACGTCACTGACTACCTAAATACTAAATTACAAAGACTGCAAAATACGGCACTGAGATTTATTTACAACCTCAGATACGACTCACCTTTAGCTCCATATAGGAAATCGGCAAACTGGTTATCAGTTCGAACTCGCCGAACCTATTTCCTAGGATGCCTCATGTACTCTGTCCTAGCGTACACCAGACCTTACTATTTGTATAATCATTTCACCCTCGCTCGATCAGAACCAGCTCGAGTCTTCAGAGGACAAGCTGCCTTCAGACTACCTACTTGTCGTACCAATCTTTATCAAAGATCATTTTGGATCGAAGCCATCCACAACTGGAACAGCATTCCTTCAAGTATCATCAACTCCTCATCGTTGTATGTTTTTAAAGAATTATACTACCGTTATTTACTTCTTACTGATAATTAAGTATGATTAATAGTCGATTATAGCAATATCTCATCGATCGATTATAGTATTCGCTGCGCACCGATACATTACGCTTAAGGGGAGGCACCTGTCTCATTTTGACCCCTCGAAATTCTAGTGACTGAAGGTGCTCGTATTTTTATTCTTCGTCGATTTTGAGGTCAAAAACATACCAGATTGTTATAAAAAAAACAATTCGAATTTTTCACTAAAAAAAAAATTTTATTTTTTCAATCGTAAAAGATATTGTCAAATGCATACGAGAGATTATTCGAAATGTTGAGAAGATCATATAAAAAAATTACCATGAGAAAATATTGAGAATTGTAAGTGAAGATAGATTTTTAAGATTGAACTTAAGGAATTTCAATCTACTGAAGTCACAAATTAATTGAAAAACATTATTTTTTTGGCTTAGGAATATATTTTTTCAATACATAAGAACGTTTATGACAATTCTGAAGAACAACCCTTAAATGGGAACAGACATATATGTATAAATATACATACAGTCATCTATGCATATAAAATTATATACGTATGTATAATGATAACGTAAAAACTAAGTATTTCAGAATAGCCCCGCTCCATACATAGTTCCTTCGTTTTCAACATAATTCACCATAGACACATACTTTATTTATTGTCTATGACATATATATATATAGTCTTATGCTAGTCTGATGCTGAATAAGTTGACGACTCATCGGAATTTGATGATTGGCATGCTGAAGATTGTAAAAAAGAATCATGATAGAACGAATGCTGAAGAATTCTGAAAACGTTCTTTCCAATATGATTTTCGATACAAGAAAATGCTCTCCGATTGAGATAGAAAAAAAATTCAACCACCCAACGAACCTAAATGTTTATGCTGCAGGACATAAAATTGCCAAAGAATGTCCTTCAGACTGGTCATACGTGTTCTTGGGTACTGAAAAAATATATTTCTAAGCCAAAAAAATAATGTTTTTCAATTAATTTGTGACTTCAGTAGATTGAAATTCCTTAAGTTCAATCTTAAAAATCTATCTTCTCTTACAATTCTCAATATTTTCTCATGGTAATTTTTTTATATGATCTTCTCAACATTTCGAATAATCTCTCGTATGCATTTGACAATATCTTTTACGATTGAAAAATAAAATTTTTTTTTCAGTGAAAAATTCGAATTTTTTTTTTATAACAATCTGGTATGTTTTTGACCTCAAAATCGACGAAGAATAAAAATACGAGCACCTTCAGTCATTAGAATTTCGAGGGGTCAAAATGAGACAGGTGCCTCCCCTTAATACCATATTTGTAGTATAACGTGTATATTAAGTATACAGAAAGCGTTTAAAAAATTTATATTTATTATATAATTTAACCCAATATTGATATACAGTATAATAGTCGTTGATTAATTTGATGTACACAAATTCTAAACCATTGGTACATATATTATATCATATTTATACCACTAGAGCGTTTACTGGGACGATACAATAATTATATAAAACACTTCAAAGTGCAAAATATAAAATAATATTAATAGAAATTACGTAATAATAGCATAATTAGTTAAATCAAATAAATTATAAATGTTTATTAATCTATATCAAGTTTTCTAAAATTACCCTCTGTACCAAACAAATCATTAGTTGTTTTGCTCTTGCTGATTCTTAATGCTTCGTTAACGCGTCTGGTTGATTCATCCAATAGAAACCACTCGCGAAACTCTCCCAATTTTTTCACTTGAATTTCAGCTAGTTTGTGCATGGAACCGGCTTTTCCACCTGTTTCGTTTGGCAACGCATCCACTGGGATGTATTCAGAAAGGGTCCCTAACGATGAGTGAAAATGTATCTAGAAGATTTAAATAAATTCAGAAATACTTATCTAATTGTAAGTATAATAGTACAGTATTGTGAATATAATTTTTCAACTTAACGTTATGATGTTATGGATAATTAAATTAAAACATTTTTTTACGTTTATCGCGATAATATTTATACAATATTATATTTTGTGTAAAATTCTTGTTTTATTTAAAAGTAAATTTATAAGGGTACGATTAGAAACAGTTATTAATTACATTTGAATTATTTGATCGCGCTTATATCACGCTTGTAAGAAATTATTATACTTCTTAAAAATCGGTTGTTGTGTTAAGTTAACGCAACTGAATTTAAATGATTGATTAATACTTACTATGTCTATCAACTCTTTTTTTACGAAAGGCTTTATCAAGCTGATAAACAATTCCATGGCAGGTAACGCATTTATAATATGAACTGCCTTTAATCGTACTGGAGCTGCCTCTTGAACGTAGTACATATATTTCTTCATTGCCAATAGATTCAATCGTCTAACATGACCAAAGGAGAATTTGCTAGCGTCAAGAATGAAAATAGTACCATCAGTCGTACCATCCATCAATAAATGTATGTCCATTGACATTGTGGCATATTTGAAACTGTAAATCCAGTCATAGGAAGAAGGATCACTGTCCAGTAATGAGGAAAATATCATCTTACAGCCATCCTTTGTCAATCCATTTAGAGGAGAAACAAACCTTTTTAAATTAAATTAATTTATTTAATAATATACTTCTTTAAATAAATTGTAACATATAAATTGAATAAATTTAATTTAAGTTACGTCAACGCAGTATTAAAAAACATATTTTCACAAAAGTCTAAGCTTTATTTATGAAGTTTATGGACAGTATAATAATAAATAAATTCATATAATCAAATTATAAGAAAAAACCAATACAATCCTTTTTTTTTACGATTTGATTAAATGACTGTCCATCGACTTTATAAATGAAGCTCAAACTTTTGTGAAAATTTATGTTTTATACTGCGTAATTTTTAATTGTTAATAATTTTTACTTTGAACTTTAATACCACGTAATTTATAATGCGTTGGCGTAACTTAAATTTATTTGATGTGTTTTAATTTGTGTGGGTTATGTACGGCTGATGAGGACACAGTAAAATTGAAACATTCCGTATGATATTAATAATAATAAATTTTATATAATTATTACATCTTGTATAGCTCAATTGTGTTTTCGATCTGTTAAGATACTTAAGTTTATTATCGATATTTAGTTGAGTGTATTATAATTTAACATTAAATTTATTGATGATAATTTACTTAAATTTATATATATAACAAGTTTATATATGTATAAAAAATATTAAAAATATTCTATGATATTTTTGAAAGTATATTGTCTATACATTTCATAGAAATTATTTTATTTTGTAAGTGGATCTCACATTATGTATATTTTAAATGTTACATAAATTGGCCATTTTATGTATATATGAACAAATTATAAATATTACTACTGTTCATTCATTAATAATTTATAAAATTGCTTACGAGGTTTTGAAGATTTGTTGTAGCCCCTTTTCTTTAAGCGGATCTTGATTGCAAAATTCTTCTTGTAAAAGTGTCCTTATCGTATAATAATTCTCGATTTTGTTTTTCGTTGGTTCCATTTGATAGTAATTGCTGTGAAGAAACAAAGCGAGGAAGCTGTCTTCAATTTTTGGCAAATGTGGTTGCTTCTCGCACCATTCTCTCAGTGATTGCATATCGGACAGTTTCAATTGAGGATTCCTCTTCATTTCTTCTTCTAATGTAATTCCTTTTGTTAAAGACATTAAAACTCGAATTTTATATGTACTTTATCGTCTTAACAACGCTTCCTTTCCTTTACAATATCGTATTCTTTCCAACAGTTTGTAGCGAAATATTTTCAAAATTAATAAAAATGTATCGAACAATTCAAAGGCTTAACAAGTACTGATACCGATGATACCAGTTATTCATAAGTTATACGCATAATAAATAATAAATTATAATTATTGAGTGACTAGCAAAAAAATATGCATTCCTGCGAAAACAACTACAGATATACACTATTGATAATTGTTTGTTAATTTTTCACTCACTCTCTGATATAACTCTTACACAATATATGTATATGAGCGCGTTCAGCAGAAAATCTCATCAGTAAATTTTTTAATGAAGCTTGTTCTGACACTCTACATCACTTAGATCCAGGATTGATCCACGTAAAACACAGAGGTCATAGTAATATCATAAAGATATCCTGATCTCACTTGTCATTTAAAGTTTTCTTTCAAGTATCAAAATACGTCATCATGAATCGCGTCCTTGATATCATTGTAATTTTATTATGACTTTGTGTTTCACCTGACAAGCACTCACTGACCAACTATCTTTACTCAATGCAGCTTTATATAGTTAAACTGTTGTGAGGAAATAGTATATTGTGTAATGAGTGGTGATTAGTTGTTCATTGTGCGGCACGGGCGCGCTCGCGCTATTTGACAATTATATCACACGAATTGCACATAGACTTTTTCATTACGAGTGCAATGTATTAGTAATATGCTATATAATTATAAAGTCGTATGCGCGAAGCAAGTGCGACTTATGGGTGTGTGGGTCGCACGAAGCAAGGGGTGTTCGGGGGGGGGGG